GCATGGTTCTATTACATTGAGATGAGCTACACTTCTTGCTACTATTTTGTGCTAGATCATCTTCTCAAAAAATTGTGTTGAAGACAACAGCTAAATATATAATATATGTTTCATTGCTAAATAATATGTTTCTCTTTATTTCCTACTGGGAATTTGAAGGGAGAACCAATGGACTTTTGCATAGGTTTCTTCTTGTTACCGATTTGATGCTTTCTCATGTAATACAACTTCATCAGTCTTCCTAGTTTTAAGATCCTTCTTGTCTTTGAAAATTTTCATTTAAATGAAAGGTTAAAACCCTTTTTTGGTCCCTGAACTATTGTACGGACCTCCGATTTGGTCCTTAAACTAAAAAAATCCCTGATTTAGTCCCCACTATTTACCATTTTTACCCCGATTTGATCCTTCGTTAAATATTCGCTTACGTGTCTTGTTACTTGACGGGGAAAATGATGACATGTTAAAACATTTTGACACCTAAGATGTACAACGTGGCAAAAAAATGAGATGGCAAGAAATTACTTTAAAAAATTTCTTTTTTTTTTTTTTCTTTGTTTTTCTTTTTTACTTTAAAAAATTACTTTAAACTGCTGAGTTTGAAACAAATGGAACTCAACAGATCCATGGGTTAGAAACGGAACCCAGTGCCTGCTGGGTTCAAAATCAAACCCAGTGCCTGCTGGGTTCAAAATCAAACCCAGCACCTTCAAACCCAGCACCTGCAGGAACCCAGCTTGAACACAGTGCCTGCTGGGTTCGAAATTGAACCCAGCACTGCAGGAACCCAGCGGCTACTGGGTTTGATGCTAGGTTTGATTGCTTGCTGGGTTCGATTTCGAACCCAACAGCTATGCCTTCTTCATCTTCATCCACTTGCAAAAACCCAACGACTGCCTTGCCTTTTTCATCTTCATCAATCAATTTCTCATATCATCAAACAACAAAACCCAAACAAAGAAAACAGAAATTTCTTTTTTTTTTTGGAACCGAGGGCTGGGTCTTAAGGAACCCAGCGCCTGGGTTTCAGCGAACCCAGCATGCTTGGGTTCCACCGAACCCAACAACGAACCCAGCATGCCTGGGTTCGATGGAACCTAGGCGTGCTGGGTTCGGTGGAACCCAGGCGGCCTAGGGTTCCATCGAACCCAGGCGTTCGAAAGGGAAGGGGAAGGGGAAAGAGAAGGGGAAGGGGGAAGGATTCCATGTCATCACTTTTTTTGGTTTTATTGTCTGCCACGTGTATTAATATTTGACATGTCATCCTTTTTCCGTCAAGTAACAAGACACATAAGCGGATATTTAACGGAAGGACCAAATCGGGGTAAAAATGGTAAACAATAGGGACCAAATCAGAGATTTTTTTAGTTTAAGGACCAAATCGGAGATCCGTACAATAATTCAGGGACCAAAATGGGATTTTAACCTAAATGAAAACATATGATATTTCAGACTTTTTAAAAAAAAAAAAAATTAATTAAATATCATTAATTTTGAAGTCTAACTGCATCTACATAGAAAATAAAAGCATATTTTAGACTTTTTCAAACTCAAGCGGACAGAAAAAAGTATCATGAGCAACATCATAACAGACTGGTTCCGCGTCTGTATTATGCAATTTGACAATTGCAAGGGACTCCAATAATGTTACCATTAAAGACCTCAAGCTCAAGTATCAAATTGAAAAAATAACAACAACAATAATAACTCAATTTTAAATATATATATAATATTGGAAGTTAGTTTCTTTTATTTTTTTTTAAAAAAAATAGAACAAATATGCAATTTATGCATTGTTTTCTAGCATCGGAGAGTTTTTCAAAGGGGAGCTAGACCAGCTCTCTCTCTCTCTCCTTGCCTTGAAAAATTGGCTTTTGCCTTTTTGAAATTTTCCTCATAGCATGTTAGGGGATGCAAATTTCAGTCTTTAATGCCATTGGATCACAAGTCTTTAATGCTATGGGATCATTTTGATCAAATGATTGGAATTTTTTATTTTATAAAGTTTTTAATATAAATATTTTTTATTGAAATAGATTAAATAAAATAATATTAATACAATTTTTGAGCAAGTTTTGTTTAAGCATATGCATTAGAGAACACGGATTTTATTAGGTGTTTTATTTAAGGATTAAATATTTAAAATAAATTTATATAAAATAATATTCATTATAATAATATAGTAATAAAACAACTTTTTCTATTGTTCTCTATACAATATGCTCTAAGTTTCTTAACTTTCTAGCTTCTCCAACAAACCCAACAAAGGCTGGCTGAACTTAATGGAAAAAGTTCATGTTTTCTCGTGTGACTGTAATTTTTTTTTTTTGCCTAATTAACATTTTTATTTTTTATTTTGGGTTAATCTATCCTCTGCTTTTAGGTACAAGATAAAGAGTATTAATTATTTAATAATTGTTATTTTTTATTTTAAAAATGATAAAGTTAATTTTTTATTTTAATTATAAATGTTATATGTTAGATTTTGATTGATTAATTTTAAATTAAAAATCAAAAGTTATTTTTTTAATATAGAATTTTACTCTTTTCAAGAATAAAAATTATAATTATTACTTAATGATGACATCTTATCCTCTATCCTTAGGATACAGGATAAACAAACCATTTTATTTTTAGCTGTGAGGTGTTTTTCAAGGCCATCATCTTATATATAATTCAAAACTAATATCTCCTTGGCCAATTCAAAGTCAGCCATCTAAACTAAAATTAAGAAATTCATGAGAAATTAGTTCTTATTGGACTCTCCAAAGAATTGAACTTTAATAAATAAGGTAAGAAGTAAACTCCATTATCTATTAAATTATAATTCCTTGATTCCTCGTCAACATTTTAGTGAAAGAGATTTCAACACTTCTCTATATCATAAGAGTCTCAAAAGGTTCTTCTTATTAAAATTTTTAGGGTTATCTTCTCTGTAGTATGGTATAAGTTAGCTAATTGTTATAATGTTATAAGTGTTAGATGAATTTTAAACTGCTTATTTTAAAATTTTATAGATTAATGCAATACCTAAATTCCTAAAATAGACACCACTTAAATTTTAAAAGTTAAAAACCCTTCTTAAGCCCCCATAATTTGCCTCAAATTAACATTTATTCCCTTAAACTAAAAATGATGTAAATAAGACCCCCCAACTCCTCAACTGGTGCTAATAAACCTTTATGACTAACAACACTAACAACCCAAACAGTTGGATTGATTCTGTTTGTTCCCTCACTTTCCATTTATTCTAGATGCTGACGTGGAGGGATCTTTGGGTTCCACTAAAATCTTGAAAATTCTAAATACAAAAAAAAAAAAGAGAATAATTTAGAAATGACTTTTTTATATTTCCTCTATCCAACAATAATAGAGATTTTTTTGTTTAGAATTTGTCATAGAATAATAGTTTTTTTTTTTTTAATTTGAAGGAAGACATATTTTTTTCGCTACTTTAACCTTATGATTATCTCTTAATTTTAATTATTCTTCCTATCATGAAAAAGGTTATTTGTTTTTATATCTTTTTTAAAGGTTAAATAAGTAAAAAAAAAAAGAAAGAAAAAGAAATTGTCCTCAAATCCTAATTTGGAGATAAAATAAAAAAAATCTATCATTCTAGGATAGAGAAAGTACAACTTTTTTATATAACTTTAAATATTATTTAATGATTGGCTTTTTTCATTCAATTAGAACTTGTGATATTATATATCTATATTTATTTAATGACATGCGAAAATTGTATAAAATAATTATATAAAAATGTTGTCTTTACATCATTACCAAAAATAAAAAAAGAAAGAAATTAAAAAGGCATTTTTATCCATGTTAGCACTTACATCGCCACATTAGTACTGCCAAAAGGAGTCAGTACATGTTAAACACTCGCTAGTCATAAAGGGCTTATTTGCACCAATTAAGGAGTTAGAGGGCTTATTCACACTAGTTGAGGAGTTGAAAGGTTTAAATACTAATTTGAGGCAAATTTAAATGCTTAAAATGGATTTTTGTCATTTTAAAATGTATAGCTAAAAATTGGTGTGGTAATTTTATAACCTCACACCAAAGTAAGTTGATTCCTACTCAATTGAGAAAACCACTTACATAGACATTATAGTTTAATTACTTGAAGTGACTCTTCCACTAGTGACCAAAAAAAGTCACCCTTCCATTCTTTTTTTTTTTTTTGGTAATAAAATGTTTTTCTTTTTTTGTACAAATGATGATAAATGAGATAACTCTCTCTTTTTGTCAAATTCTTTTCCTCGTTTACCATAATAGATGGGGCGGTGGCTCTTCTACTTAATTTTCATATTAAGTGAGCATAACTTTCAGGTTTTGTTTAGGAGTATTGTGATTATAACTTTAAGTTTTTTTATTTTTAATATCTTAAAAATATATAAAATATTAATTAAAATTAGTAAATATATAAAAATTAATTTAAATCAATTAAAAATAATAAATTTATATTTTTAGATAAATAGTATAAAAAGTATCTATATAAAGAATTGTCAAATAAAACCATAGTAAAAAGACTTTAAATCAATAGTAAATTAGACGACGAAATTGAGAATGAACTAAGTTCAGGGACTCAATGGGAGTTATTCCTCTTTTCATGCTTTTAAATTTTTTGCCGTAAAACACCTTCCCCAAGAAACGGGCCTCAAAAGCAGAAACGACGTGAAAAATCAGTAATAGGTCTTAAAGAAGGAGCAATTACGGGCTAGGCCCAACTAGTGTGGGCTCTACCTTTTGATGTTCTAAAAATTAGTGTGGGCTGAGCTGAATCCAAACAGAAATCAGGGTTCACATCGCAAAACCCGCCAACAAAGTGGATATAAATACACTTTCCATGCCACGAGGGTTAGGGTTTTTGTGTATTCAGTGTCTCTCTCTCCCAGAAGCCGCCCGCAGCAGTTCGAGTTCGCCGGGAGAAGAGGAAGAAAATGAAGACCATCCTCTCGTCTGAGACTATGGACATTCCCGATGGGGTGAACATTAAAGTGAAGGCGAAGGTGATCGAGGTCGAGGGACCGAGGGGCAAGCTTATCCGCAACTTCAAGCACCTCAACCTTGACTTTCATCTCATCAAGGACGAGGAAACCGGTAAGCGCAAGCTCAGGATCGAGGCCTGGTTCGGCTCCAGGAAAACCAGCGCCGCCATCCGTACCGCCCTTAGTCATGTCGAGAATCTTATCACTGGCGTCACTAAGGGTTACCGCTACAAGATGAGGTTCGTCTACGCTCACTTTCCCATCAACGCTTCCATCACCAATGGCAACAAGTCCATCGAGATCCGCAACTTTTTGGGCGAGAAGAAGGTACTCTCTCTTTCTGCTTCTTATGCATTTCGTTTGTTATGTATATGTTTATATATTGATCTAATATGATTTATTGTGTCATTTCCTTCATTTTTGTTATAGAAAGTAATTTGGTCAATTTGTTAAAAGTAATTTGCCTTTGAATGGTGGGTTTGAAGATTGCATCTTTATTTAGTATTTACCATTTGTTTTTCATTTTTTAACAAAATTGTGGACAAGCATTCAATGTGATTGAAATTGATGAATTTTTCCAAAGGGAACTGTAAAAGTTATGTTTTTATATCATGGTTACTCTGTGTTTTAGGTTCCAATTGATTTATTCCATATGGGTTTATATATTTATGGTATAGAAAAAGGATAGTCTAACCATAATAAACAAGATGTCATGCATAAGCCTTGTGTTAATAGAAATATTTTCTCTGATGAACTTTAGGTTCGCAAAGTGGATATGCTTGAGGGTGTTTCCATCCTTCGATCTGAGAAGGTCAAGGATGAAATCGTATTGGATGGGAATGATATTGAGCTGGTGTCACGCTCAGCTGCTTTGATAAACCAGGTACTTTCATTCTGTGTGCGCTAGCTTTTGTTTAAGTTTATTTTATGGGCTCTGCCAACAATCATCCTTCCAGCCCCATCAGCACTTTTGTTTGTGTGATTAAGTTTACAATATTCTGTAATGTCTTTTGTCTCATAATCTGGTTGGCCTTCAATTTGTTTTGAACAGAAATGTCATGTCAAGAACAAAGATATTAGGAAATTCCTTGATGGTATCTATGTTAGCGAGAAGGGCAGAATTGCGGAAGATGAGTGATTGCTATCAATCAAGAAACTGTTATAGTTTTGTTTCAATTAAATGTCCCAGTAAAACCGTTGGATTTTGTTCTTTTCTTTATTTTTTTCATGGATTTCAGTTGCAAAGAATGGGATGATCTTTGTTATTGTGTCGAGTATATTGGACATCTGCTAGAACTTTAGTTTGGTTTTACATCTCTTTTTTGTATTAGTTATTGTGCTCTTAATGTTAGTATTGGTTTAGATAACTAATTAACATTTGATTGGCTGCAATCATTTGCCAATAATGCCTTTGAATTTGTTAACCCTGGGGGATAAAACACATCTAATCAGAGCCCTACGATTCCCTACCCTTTCCTAATTTTTTAACCTAGATATTTATAAGATAAATTCGGCACTGCCATGTTTCTCCTTAGGATTTAAATGTTTTTGTTTTTCTTCTAATTTATGATGGAAGAGAGACTGGTAATGTTCTTGAAAAGAAAGCTTGGAACTAGGAATATGTCTGTAGAATGGCTGTTGGTGCCGAGTATTGATACTGTTCTCGTGCAACTATTCCACTGATAATAGATGGTCTTTATTAGACCAGCATGTCAATGTATTCTGTTGATAATTTATTTCTCCTATCATAAAAGTTCTAGCCTTTGCCTGAAACATTCCCATCGTATCTGTTCAGATTTTCTTAGAAATAAAACTGCTAAAATTTATCTGGTGGTAAACAACGACTTCACACCCAAATTCTAATATTTAAATTATATTATTTTTTGGGTAATTTCTTTGCTGTAAATGTTCGATTTGATTTTCACCCAAAGGAAAAAAAAAAAAAAAATTTGACTTGGTTGGTTATAATTCAATATCCCTTCAACAGGCATCAGATTTAGAATCCAAAACAGCCTTCCCTTTCCGGAACAAGAGTTATTGATCTTCCCTGCACTTTACCATTTTTTATTCGGCCGACTTTGTCTGTTTACTTGAACCAGAAGTGTATTTTCAAATTGTGCTGAAGCACAAAATCACGAGTTAACTATTCTCTTGACATCTTCTTCCTTGACGGGAAAGGCTGAAGTGGTATGTATGGTTCTAAATTTATATTAAAATTTTAAGTAAGATTTTAAAATTTTTTCTCATTCAATTAAAATTTTAAAGTTGTTGAAATGCTTTAATAAGGTCTTAAATAGAAATTGTTAAGTTTATTAAACATTTCTTTTGTTAACGTTTAAAGAAAAATATCAACTTTATACTTTTTTTTTTTAATTTAAAAATATTAATTTTATTAATTTCTAAAAAAATCTGATTAACTTTCAAGTTCTAATTTCTGTGGCTCAAAACTAATTTGGTGGCTGTCAGTGAAGGGTAAAGTTGTCCATGAAGAAGGGACAGGGATCCTCAAGAGCATGGACCGCGATTTAGCGGCCGAGGGAGAAAACATTAGGAGACCTAATTAAATTCCTTCAATAGGTATACATAATTCAGTGTTTATCAAAGATCTAGATACCAAACCTATTTGATCCTCTTTTTTTTTTTTATGGGTCATTTGGTATCTGAAAACTCATTATACAACCGATTAATCTGGATTCAAATCAGATAGGACTCAATAAGCGACAAAACTTTTTCTCACGAGTTTTAACAAAATTACATTTTTAGAATTTGAAATCAAGATTTATGATTAAACTAAAAAAATCTCCTACCAGCTCATTCACCCTACCAAACCTACTTGATCCTTAGCATTGATGAGAATTGCAAAAAGTCATACTAAAACAGCTAACTTCCATAGGAGGGAGTTTACTCCATCCGTTCAAATTTAAGACATAAATTTTGATTTTTTTTAATTTTTAACACAAATTTTAAATAAAAATTTAATATATCATATAAAAGATAATTAAATTTTTTTGATAAAATAAAAATACTCAACAACAACTAGATATAATAAAAAATCTTAATTATTATTTATATAAGTTATTATTGAAATTTGTATTTATTCGTCTTACCTTTTTAAAATTAGAAAATAAGTTATTGTAAAATTTTATCATTTCAATAAAACATCATAAGAGAAGACTAAAAACAATCTAATTCATGCCTCAAAGGTAAGGTATTTTAATCTTTTCTCCCGAAAGCATATTAAAATAACATAGTTTTAGTGTAATTTTTCTTTTAATTTTTTAAAAATAAAGCAAATGAACGCTACTCTATTATTTTATTATATTATAAAAATTGTTACCGTAAAATCCTCAAGAAATCTTGAATAAATATCTAATGAACCATTTAATATAAGAAAATTAATTTAAAAAATTGTGAAATAGATCTTACATAAAAAAAGTTTACTATATAAAAATTATGTCAAAAAAATAAAGATTAAAAATATTTTTTTAATATTAAAATATAAAAATACATAAATAATCTTAAGAATAAAAATTTTAAAAAAAAAAGTGGGAAAAGTTTTTTCTCCCCAATCAAATTAACGCCCCGACCCAAAATAGAAGCAAATTTTAATTTAATTGGTTAAATTACAAAATAATCCTTAAACTTTTAATTTTAGTTTTTAATAACTTTAAAACTTCTAAAAACCTTAAAACACTCCTTAAATTAATTTTTTTATTGAGAAAGAAATTTTTGTGAGAATTATAATTAAAAATTAATTGTAATTATCTGAAATAATTTATTAATTATCCTTTAAATGATTTCATTAAAAATTTAATTAACCAATAAAAGTTTTTTGAGTTTTTTTTTTTTTTTTGCCATAAGAAATTTTTTGATTGGGTCCTACATATTTGCATGGTAAATTAATTCATGAAAAAATAACAAAAAAATTGAGACCCACATATATGCCACATTAATTTTTAATTGTTGGTGCCACAAAAATTTCTCATAAACAAAAGGAAAAATATATTTAAGAGCATTTTTTTTTTTTTAAGTTTTAAGGTTATTAAGAGTTAAGATTAAAAGTTTAGAGACAATTTTTGTTATTTAACCTATTAAAGTTAATGCGTTAGCTATAGATTTCATGGATTTAACGGTGTCTATCCAATTAGAACTTTATTTGAGAATTACCACAACTTTATGACCTTAATTGAGTGTAATAAAAGTTTGAAATCTTAATTGCAAATTTGGTGTAAGTTTGAGACCTTATCCACTACTTTAGCCTTTACCAAATGGTGCATCCTATTCTTTAATAATATGGAATATGAATTCCACTATATATAACTAGCTAAGCATCAATATGTATCGCCCATTCAACCATAATTATATAATATTAATTTTCTTCAAAAGAGAGTGGCTCACACTCCATCCTACACTATTCCCACTATCTTACCAATCCCTTTCTAAATTTCTCTCCCTGTTTTAGCTCAAAAAGTGAAGTGCAACACCATGAAAACTTGTGGTTATGTTGCAGCAATGATACTGGTTCAAGTTTCATATGGTGCATCCAACATTCTCATAAAAATTTCCCTTGAGCAGGGCATGAATCAATTCGTCTTCGTGGTTTACCGCCACATAATTGCCTTTCTCCTGTTAGGACCCTTTGCTTATGTTCTTGAAAAGTAAGATTTTACATTGATTGCTTTCTGCCATGCTCCATTTTGAGGTTAGCAATTCTATATTTGTTGATAGAGAGATTCTTGGAATTTTTTATCTGTTGAAGCAGGAAACAGCGACCCAAACTGACTCCCCCGCTCTTTGCGAAGATCTTTGTGCTTTCAGCATTAGGGACTACCATTCACCTTAATATTTACTATGCTGGTTTAGCTTACACCTCTCCTACTGTTGCCAGTGCTCTGAGCAATGTCATCCCCAGCTTGACCTTTCTCATGGCAGTCTTGTTCAGGTAATTAATTCCAAACTTAATTGTTTGGTTGGAATGATGACTAAAACATTACCAAGACTCGAACCTTGACGTGTTAGAAATCAGAGATAGGTGGTATGATTCTTGCTACTTTTCTAGTTCTGTTACGCGGATTCTTTACTTTATCCTATTCAGTTCATATCCAATCTTTGTTAGACAATTCAAATTCATATAGACATGATTTTTGGGTCCTTGAAATCGAAAGAAAATCATACCCCCAGAAAAATTAAATCTTCTATATCGGATACTCGATCCTGAATCTACTTCAAATTCATTTAGACATGATTTTTGGGTAAATCGAAAGAAAATCACACCCCCCAAAAAAATTAAATTTTCTATGTTGCATATTTGATCCTGGATCTAATAATATACAGCTTTCTAATTATGCTGTAATTTCTTCAAATTCATATAGAATGGAGAAAGTGAAGATCACAAGTGCCAGGGGTCAAGCAAAGGTGCTGGGTACAGTTATATGCATTTGTGGGTCGCTAGTTTTTACCTTTTGGAAGGAAGGGTACAAGTTCAAAGGCTTTGTTGACAGACCCCTCATCAACATCTACACTTCCGAAGGTGTTGGAGAGTCAAGGCATAGACATGAAAACTGGATCATGGGCTCTGCTCTCATTCTCACTAGTTATATTGCATGGAGCGCATGGCTAATTCTCCAGGTCAGTATACATAAGCCTGCAAAAAATTACTGTGACTGGCAAAAACATACCGGTTCGGGCAATCATGGTTCTTGAATACATTCTCACATCCATATTCAAGGGCTATACATCTACATTCAAAGCTGTAGTTGTTCAAACTAATATTTCTTTTATCAATTCAGATTGACACACTCTTCCAATTTATCCTACTTTATATTCTCTTTTTAATTTTTATAATTATGATGCACACTGATCTTTGTTGCTAGCAGGCTTTACTATCCAAAGTATATCCAGCTCGGTTATCACTGACCGTACTGATTTGCTTCATAGCATCACTGCAATCTTCCCTTCTCTCCATGTTTTTTGCAAGAAATCCTGTCTTATGGAAGTTGGATTGGAATTTGTCACTCCTAACAATCATCTACGCGGTAAGTTTATTAATTTTATTGATGCAAATGCCACAAATTTCACAAGGCTATAGTTAATTAAAGCTCAAATAATTAACATTGTTGTGTTCTTGTGAAAAGGGCACCATGATCTCAGTATTATCATACTTTCTCCAAATCTGGTGTATCAGCAACAAAGGACCAGTTTTTGCATCCATGTTCTCTCCATTGCTAGTCCTCATTGTTGGAATATTCTCCGCAATTTGTTTTGCTGAGCGGTTTCACTTGGGCAGGTCTTAATTTCTTGTGTTAGTATTTTAATTTTTTTAATAATTAAAATAAAAAGGGAAAAGAATAAATACCCTTTTTTTAAAAAAAAATTAGATGGTTATTTATGTATGGATAATTTTCAGCTTGGTGGGAGCATTGCTGATAATTGTGGGACTTTACTGTGTTGTTTGGGGCAAAATGAGGGATGATTCTGCTACTCCAACAAATACAGAGGCAGAAGATCAAATGCTGGAGGTTGCCGTGATTGGTTGCCCAGCTGCCAACGATCATGACAACAAGTGAAGGCAAGGAAATTGAGGAGGCAATTGCGAAATTAAAGATTACTTGCTAATTGATTGTTTAATCAAATATATTTAAGAAAATAAAAAGAAATTATTACCAAACTGTTAATTTGTTTTTCATATAAATATTGCGAATTCATATCATTAAAGTTTATACTCATTTCCCTCCCTTATTTAGATGGGTAGAAGTGCATAAAGAAATTATAAAGGAAAAAATAAAATAAAAGAAGTTTCTTATTACCTGCCCTTTCTTCTTCTTCTTTTTTTTTTCCTAAGCTAACAAGCCTCCCAAAGCTGATCACACCAGGGACAAAGAAATTGATTGTGATACCTTTTTTTTAATACTATAAAAAATTTTTACATCTCATACTAAAATTTACTCCCAATTTAAATATGATACCTTAATGATTTAAAAAAAATAATTTAACATTTCATCACAATAACTCAACATGAAATATAAAAAACTTCTTAGTATCATATTTATTTATTTTTTATTGGTTATAATACCTCTAATGTTGACTTGAAATATCATATTAAATATTTTTGCATGGCATCTTAGAAATTTTTTTTTATCTTGAAGTACAATTCCTTCTTCTCAACATAAAATTATATATAGAGATTATTTTTTTAAAAAATAAGCATAAATAGGAAAAAGCATAGAAGCCAAAAAATTCAATCCACCTCAAATTAATTAATATTTTAGTGGGAAAAGGTGAAAGGAGCTTTATTAGGAATAAATTTAAGTAGCATTCATATGGCTTGTATTATCAGTATACTCTTCAACTTTAACCCTTTATTCTATATTCCATTTCTACCTTTTTGTCTATGCAATATATTTTTCCTTATGCACAGGAAATAATATCTTCTAAATATTCTTTGATGGCTTGTTGCTAGCACCTTCAAGAACCTCCCTTTACACAGAATAAATGTCATGTAATAACCCAACAACACCAGCTTCCCTGTGGAGGACCAAAAAAAACACAGTGAGAAAAGATGGGAAAGGCACGTACTGTAGGAATCGGCATGGACTACTCTCCTACCTGCATCTCAGCTCTCCGGTGGGCAGCAGAGAATCTAGCCGAAAACGGAGATCGAATCATCTTAACCCATGTCCAGCCTCCCAGAGCTGATCACACCAGGAAGGAGCTCTTTGAGAACACTGGATCACGTACGTTCATATATAACTCTTATATAACTCTATAAGATTTTACTATATATTTAACTATGGCTAGAGGTTTAAATTCCAAACCTTAATTTTGTTAATTTATTTCACTCTTTTCACTTCTAGTATATATCCATTCTCATTGGTCTTGATATTTTGGGTTTCAGCTCTGGTTCCTCTTGAGGAATTTAGAGAAATCAATTTCTCGAAGCAATACGGGCTCAAGTATGATCCTGAGGTGCTCGAT